ATGGATCGCAGCAACGCAATGTAAACTCTTCCCTCGACAGACAAGCTCACGTCACGTCGGTGCCATAGGTGTCGGAGAATGGCAAAAGCTACCCTGGCCTTTCGAGAGGAGGTTCGAGAAATAATCTCATCTCCAGCCACTCCGCCGGAACGTATACAGCTGCCCAGGTAAAAAATTATCTACCACGTCGATTGGCTCACCTGCAAGCGTGAGGTGTGGGTTTGGTCCCACCCAGTCTTGTAGCAGCACTTTACACTTTGCAGGTGTGAAGCGCACGCCAAACCGTGCGGCAGAGTCATCTAGGCTATTTAAAGTCGTTTTTATTTGGGAAGAATCTGAACCAAGGAGAGCATACTCAATGTCTGTGGGGGAATGTCCTGAGAGCATTTCGACTCCCGAGGTTTCAGAGACAGGCAGAGGAAATTCAAGCAACATATCAATAACAAAGTTAAAGAAAAAAGGAAAGAGGACAACTTTGTCAGTACACCACTGGACGTGGTGAACTGAGGCGAGAGCTTCCCGTAAACTCGTACACGCCCACGGGAGTTCGCATACAGTGCCCTCATAAGGGAGAGAAATTTGGAAGGGACACCTTTGATCGCCAGACACCGCGAATGTATCGGACGATTGACAGAATCAAAATTAGCTTTCACATCAAGAAAAACGATCAACGCTAAACGTCTGAAGGAGTGACGCTGTTCAAGAATTTGTCTCATTGTAAAGATATGATCGGTGCACCCTCGACCAGGGTGAAACACAGCTTGATTCTCATGAGTCTCTCTTCTGATAATCGATCGACCTACGCAAAATAATGCCAGAGAGCACCTTAGGTGCGACGGATACCAGGCTGATACCACGATGGTTTTCGCATGACTTTCTTGCGCCGTTTTTGAAAACTGGGATAACGGTTTTTAAAATTTCTTAACGATGTGTCCATTTGAGTTCGATTGAACCACACATGTTACTGGTTTGCTCATTAGTTGAGTACGCACCTACGTTTGTTAAGTATAATCCATAGAAGGACCTTGTCCCATATTGGTGCAAACCCTTATCAGGTGATCTTTGAGAACGATGTCTATGTGTCTTCTTTGTATGACATGCTTCATATGAGTGCGTGATATCTTGATCTAACAACTATTGATTTAACGTGCATACAACTCTGTTGCTTGTTGGACGTATACTAGGATTTGATGGTGTATGGTGCGATTATTTTCTGGTGATCTATTTCTAGTCAGAAATGTGTGCACTTTGTGGAGAACGGAACATTTAGTCTTGGATGGGTGAAACAGCACAATCCTTAAGAGAATGCTTTTCCTAACTACCGTATTAGACCTATGTGTGTCTGCTTTGAGTGGAATTTCCATAGGCGTTCAGATGCCGACTCCAAATCACTGCGTGTGAAGCTGTCGTCGACCTTCTTCCTGATTTTGGACATCCACCACTCCGAAATGGGTCACCAAGCGCACAGCCTTTCCAGGTCGGGTGTTTCCATTCTCATCCATTTAGTCCTTTCCAACTGCGGTCGTCATTCAGCTGTACTACTTTCGGTGTCTAGCTAGCATGCCACTCGAAGGGAGATGGAGGGGTGAGATACTGACGTGCTTCCCAAAAGAGCACTTAAGAAGTTCGTGTTGGATTCGAACTACGACCTTCTGATCTCTAAGTTTGCGCCGTAACCACTGTGATATCTTAAGGTCTGGTCTTAACGTTTTGATAAACGATTTTCTTCTGCTCTTGTCACTACTTATCCCATCTGTCTGTTAACGACCGCAACGCTGCACTCATAAGTGCTGTGGAAAAATTGACTCTGGATCTCAGGGTTTAACTTCCGACCATTATTTTATTTTCACGCGATTGGTGATGCTTATTTTAGTTTGACGGACTGTCTGCTACACCACCAGCAGCTGAAATAGAGCTTTGATAAGACTTGGATAGGTAGACTTGGATAAACCCTTAAACTAAAGTGTTCTTATCAGGCTAGTTCTGTTGGGATATTAGTTATGTTTGCCCCGAGAATTCGTCCCGAGTATGTTCATACAACTTTTCCAAGTTATACAAAGTTATGGTAGACCATATCCTGACTCTTTGGTATTCAGCAATCCAACACCTGTCCAATAGCACTCGAGTTATTGAAATGGTTAAGAGCTCCCCGATCAACCGTCAATAAATGCATTCGAACTACTTGGTCTACTTCGTTTTGTATGGCAGGATTTTTGGTTTATCCACAGTCACTTCTCTTCAAAGCAGAAAACAATAAAAAACATATATGGAGTTAAATCCCCAGTTGAAAATCAGGATAGCTTTATCGGAAGACCCGAATAAAGCTCAGTTTAATCCCTCAAGTAGCCGGTCGTTTGGTGTTGAAATACGAAGTGAGTTTGGTAAATCCCAAAGGGGCCAAATTGGTAGTGGGTTTCCATCGACGTAAATATCCTTTGATATTCTGAATATAGACCCAAAATCAAACACAAGTCCGCCTTTGTACAGCATGTTCGTTGATTAATGTCGTAAACAATAGGCTTGTTCGGGGCTCATTCTCGCTAACCTAATGTGCGAATAAGTGTCTAACATACATAAAAGTTGATGTCTCAGTGCTAAAACGAGATTGATGGTTTATCTCCATCTGGTGAGTCCCGAACTAGCGAAACCCGCAGCGGATGTCGGATAATTTTCATCATGTCGCATCAAACCAAACTGCAGAGGCCCATAAGACAACCTTGCGACTTGTTTGACGGACACCCTTCTCCACCATATGGATTTCATAGGGATGACATGTTCCAGTGACAGAGAATAAAGCATGTTTGTATGCACATGTACGTGTGTATATCTGACAGTCCTAGACTTGAATGGCTCAGTTGCGCCAAAAACTGATTGAAATTTTCTGCATTTCCTTCTCGAAAGAGCACGATGTGAGGTGTATGTTATGCAGTATGACGTTCCTTTTCGCTTAGTTCACGGGTTATTATGCATGCCTAGACTTGGTGGCTCAGTTGCGCCAAAAACTGATTGAAATTTTCTGCATTTCCTTCTCGAAAGAGCACGATGTGAGGTGTATGTTATGCAGTATGACGTTCCTTTTCGCTTAATTCACGGGTTATTATGCATGTGTTCGTATTGGTACTACTTCTGGGAGGCCCGTAAAACAGCACACTGGCTCGGAACACTGCGTTTGTTCACTCGTCATCGATCTGGCAACACCATAAAGGGCGCTGTTAATCGGACGATCGATTTGTCGATTGGCAGGATTGTTTGAGCCACGTGACTGTACGCTTGGGCAAAACAGGGCAATAACTACTCAACTGTATGCTTTCTACCGAAATCATACTGCTGCTGTGTTTTAGGCACGACTCTTTTGTTTGTGGTTGGCCAAATTTTTGCAGCCACCATGTGTATTTAACGAAAAGCAAGATAAAAATTGCGGTGAAAAGGCTGCCGTCAGCTATCATCATACATTGTTGCCTCAACCTTAGCACCCTGCCAGTCTTGAGCTTCCTATGAGCTACGTGGCGGAACCACACGTAGACAAACCAGTGACATACATCAAGAGTGGTCACGTCCGCCTGCTGAAACACTATAGTTCAGAGGCATCCAACGTGCTCTGGTGGAGGAGTGAATAAAAAGCTCACCTCGCGTAGCAGATATCCGGAGTCCAAACCCGGCACAGCCAAAGTTACTCGTTGTGGATGAAACTCGTGTCCAGGACCTTTTCTCTTTGATGTGGACGCACCATTATAATGGTGCCAAAACTGCCAGTGAGTGTTGTGAATAGAACACATCGTGAGCTGCCAGGCTGAACTCTAGGTACTGTGAACTAAACATGAATCCGCTTCTTAGTCTGGATAGATTGAATGTCTTATAGACCTGCCCAGGCCCATCTCAGCCTAGTTAACAATCATCATGAAGCACTCCATTGTTGTATCGGTCTTCTGACCTTGTGACATTAGCCTCAACTAATACGCACAAAATTCAAAAACCTGGCAACAGCAAACCGAGGAATGAAGAAATATATGATGGGCGACTCAAATTCACATGAATAATTCTTAGTATACAGCAGGGGGTTACACTAAGTCTCAAATCGTCAAACCATGGTGACGGGTTGATCATCACAAAAAGTAGCAGCCCCGGGACGCCACATCTGGCGCAAATTGGTGGCTATTCTGATCTCAGATATTTGTTTACTTCCCTCAGAAGTTATGGCGAAAAGTTCTCGGAAATTTGCTGAATTCTGTGTGATTTTCATTTATTCATTTCACTGCTACGAGTGTTGACTGTGGCTAGCGAGCACTGACATGATTGGAAGGTCTGCTGGCCTCATACAAAACTTAAACTGGGATTTCCTTCACCGCAAACTTACAGGAACACGTAAGTGATTGCTGGTACAACTGCCCTTGATAGTACTCATTTCACTCTTATGACCATCGCTACTATACTGTACTGGGATTATGCAAGCCACGGTTGAGTTGTTTGTCCTCAAATGACCCTAAATGACTGAAGTGGCAGTGCGCGTCTTTAGGCTGAAGGATCTTTTCTAGTGCTTTGCGCGTGATCTCAAATAAATGCAGGCGATTATATTTCAGCTCCTTTTAATCCGTTTTCCACAATTTTCGGTTGACTGTGGGCTTTTAAGGAATCATGGATCCTGGAGAACACCCCTGGAGGTTCTGATATATCCTTTGCACCACACGGCAGCCCTGTACACATGACTTTTTAGGGTATTATTGCCATGCCATCTATCTTGGTGTTGTTAGCACAATTCATTGTTTCATCGGTGTCGTATGATTGCCTTTATTTTTCTCCTAGCTAATCGGTTCTGTTGCATCCTAAGGTTTTTACCGAGTATTTTGGTTTCGGTCCTGTTCACTTCTATCCATTCATACGACCTAGCCTTCCCCGTTTGCATGAAAACGGAAAGCATTCTGCTGGCATGTTTGAACGGATGGGCAGTCATCGCGGCCTGTATTCTTCTATTCGTTCATCTGCTACCCTGTGCCTGTTTTCAGTACTTACATATGAAGAAACGAGCAGAGAAGAGGAGGATGTGGACGCGAGTGCGGCCCTTGCGGAATTACAGAAGATGCCACATGTGGGTCTCTCTCAAACTTCACAAAAAGGTCGTACTCGGTTGGAGAATGGGGTTGCGCAAGAAGAGGTTAAAAAGCGTAAGTTTTCTAATCCGGTTATTCCCAGATTTGCCGAATAAGCACTGTTCGGTTCAATTTTTATTCCAAACGTTGACGTTTCTTTCCATTGTGTGAAGACCGTAAACTACACCGGATCGTTACGCAGAGCACAGTAGTAAATAATCGATCTTGTGTGCTAGCTAGATCTGGTGTGGCCTGATTACTAGCCAATGGGTATGATTCTTTCTAGTGTGACCCCAATAGCATGGGGGAAAGAACGACATAGTTGTACTGATGAAGCGTTTACAAAGCGGACTGGTCAGTAATCCGGCACGAGCTAGCGTGCTCTGGCTGTATCGAGAATAATCAATATGCTGCGCTTCGAAGGGCAAAGTGTACGTAGGAAAAACTTGCCATGATACTCCGTTATTGTGTTATTCCTAGCATGAATAAGTGTAGCCGTATTCACCCTGATTGAGTTTAGGTTCGACGGACTGTCAAATTTTTAAAATGCCTTTTTGGTTTCCAAGTCAGATCCATCTCTTCAGCGTGACGACAGACTCCAAGGGCTGGATTACGGTGCGTGGAAGAGTTTTAAAAGGCTTAGCAAATATTTATGCACCCTGCCGCTTAAAGAATTGTGCTGCTAAACCAATGTCAGAATCCTAGGTCCGCCTTGCTTGTTAGATTCATTCACACGATTATCGATCACCTTTTTTGGTTGTACAGAAACAGCTTCGTACTTGCACAATGTTGTTAGATGGTTAGTCAACATACGCGTACTTTCACTGGAGCGCACGTGATTAGAACAACCCATACGTAACGATGAAGAAATGCTTAGAGGAAAGGCACTAATATTGCTCAGAGCTTGTAGTTCTTTATTCTTTCAGAATTCCCCGGTGCCGAAGTTGCATTTCATTGGGAATTTTAATTTTTCTGTATATTAACACTCGCTCAAATGATGACATTGTGGTGATGTTTCTGGCATTCTAATGGACAACCGTGAATGGTAGGCCGGAGCAGAATGTCGGTCAGTGAGGATGAAATAGGAACGCGTGTATGCTGTGTGGCACAGATTGACCGCTCTTAGCCGAATGTTTAAGTGTTGGAGCTGCTAGCCGGGCGGTCACGAGTTCGAGATCTCCTGAAGTTTCGTGATTTGCGCACTGCTGATGATATCCAGTAAAGATAAAACAGGTGTACAGTGCTTCTGAGCTTTTTGGCAATGATCGACTTCACTTACGGGACGAAATATCCATCACAAATAGAAATCTTCATCTGTGTTGCCTTGTCATCTTGACCAGTATATTCGATGCTAATATAGAAAACAGGTTCATTCATCGGTTGATGCCACGCGTTCTGTTCAAAAGATGCTCCCTGAGATGCGGTACTGCATGCGGTTACAACAAACAGCATACCAGTTTTTTAACCTTGGATGCACTTTCCTAATTGTCTAAAAGCAACTTATCGTTGCGGAACAACTTTGGAGCCTTGCTTAGTGGAAGTAGTTTTCTCTTTGTGTTGTCTCTGTTAAATTCGAGTGATAACCTGCCAATACCAGCTTAACTGAAGGGTTAGTAATGTCACGTCTCGTTCATATGCAAGTTAACCAAGCTGCCTCTTAGACTCCTGCGATTGAATGGGTGTGTGTTAGACTTTTATCACGAATGCTGCAGGTTTGTATTTCCTGGGCTCGTGAGGTGTGTACGACCGATGACTAACGAAAAAGCTTATCCACTTGCACAGAACTGAGCTTTTCAGCCTACGCAGACTTTATTTGAAGGGACGACTACAGCCAGCCAGCTACCATTCAAGTCTGTGTCACCTACTCGGATCGCCTAGTATAACCACTGCCCACGGTTGGTGAATTTTGTCGAAGCATCCTTGCAGCTGTTAGAAGTAAATCAGCATTCTGTTGGTCCAGCTGAAAACTACTAAAATGAAAAATGGAATCCCTGAGTACATACGGCTAGTCTTTCAGCTGTTATTGTCCACCAACGCTACCGAGTTTGATGACATCATTTCTTTCGACACCGCTTCCGACCATCATAAGAACCAACTCGGGAATCACGGTCAACGATTCCGAATATTCAGGGATAAACAATGACCTGGATTGTCGTGATGTCGAATGTGCACAAACCCCAATCAGGTGTAGCTCACTGGAAGAACACAAAAGTTTTCATCCCTCCCTCTTAACGAAGAAACTTGTGTGTTGAGTGAACAAGGTATCCCGTTATTTCTTGAACTTTTACTCATCGTTTTAACCGAAAGTGTCCGTTTTTCCTCGTGGGGTTTACCGACATAACAACATTACGTGATCGAAAGTTGCAGTTCGACGTTGTTCTTACAGTTATTTTGTCTGCGCGATAATTTCATTCTTACCGCACTCTGTCGCCTAACGTAATGATTGTCGTTGTCCTTATTGGACCATACAAGCAGGTGTTATTGTATCAACGAACTACTAGGGGTGTATAGTGACCTGACACACCTTTTTTAAGAAGTTTGTCATGTAAACACATCAGTTTGGACCCATATTCAACCGTATTGCGAAGTTCTTGCTTCGTGCTCACCTGCGTCAAGGTGCTTCTCGCTTAGAGCACCTAAGTTTCCGGGTATGATACGGTTGATTTTGTATCCGAATAATATTATCAGAAGGATTTTGGCATTTTTTGTACCACACTTTGTTTCCACAGATTATCTCAATGAACGAGCAACCGCAATGGTAGTTCATCGCCTAATTGAAATATACAAACAACGCACGGTCGATATCTCTGATGAATTTACTGCGAAGTTAATGCGACGGCAAACACAGAGCTTATTGAAATCTCCTCGTCAGATGTCGCCAGTTTTGTGATCATTTTTTAGAATCCGTTTTGAAGAATTTTCAACAAACAAGGGAATCAAAAACTTTTTAATAAGTTACAGAAACAAGCAGCCCAAATAACTCAGTAACGTGGCTTCCAGAAGATCGTGTTACTTCAGACAGCAACTAGCTGGAGTTCAAAGACGGTAGATGTTTTCCAAATCTTATCTTTTGTAGTGGTAGAGGTATGCGAGCGTAGACAGCTGATCGATTCGATGGTGAACTAAAATAAGTTGACAAGGGCGACTGAAGAAGCATGCAACTACAAGGCACAGCAAACTTTCGGTCACATAGTTCATCTGCTTAAGTGTGGTTAGTGGTGCTGGTGCTCTAAGTCAGCGGAGTTAAGCCAGAATGAAGGTATTGCACACCAGTGCATCCTGGATCTGTCCAGTAAGCCCACGACCTCCTAGACGTCTTCTACCGCATGCTTATTTTTCACTGACTTCAGTGAATTTGTTCTAGGATTGCATCTGTTGGCAACTGTCGTTATGCGACCCTTCAAACTATGTTGTTACTCTCACCCTGCCTCGCTTTTTCATCCAGCTGTGAACCTTTCTGAAGAGGACAAAACACGGATTCTATCGTCGGATGATTTTATACAATTCTTCAACCGTTCTGCTCAGATTATCGAACGTGCAATTTGTGAACCTGAAGATGCTCTATTTTTGGACTACACTGGCGGCGAAAGAGAAGCCGAGACGTAAGTACTTTTAGCATTGCCAAGTGTGAAGCTTGCTGGACTGCTGTCACACAATGAACTGTGGGCTGTCGTTGGTGCCCCCTTCCTTCATTTGAATGGGTGTTGAATGACCTTTGGTTAACGGTGTTTCGGATAGGAGATCATTTTAAACATGACAGATATCTGTAGCCTAGATCGGTGGCTAGATTATCACCATTTAAACCTCACGAGCATTGGGTTGTTTATTTAGTCTTGCCTATCTTTATCCCGTATGTAGTGTTTTATATTCTTCATTACCGGCCTTGTTGCTCTCGTATGGTTTTGAGGAAGAATAAAGAGTGATTGAGAGTTACCCTGAGGTAGCCTACCACAGTTTGGTCGGTCCAGTATAATTTTTTAGCATCCTGCTAGTAGTATGCCCTGCTCAGTTTTTCAACGCTACAAAGTTTGCCTGTGATGTACTTCCGACCACACAGACTAAGTTTATCATCGTTCATTTTTGCATCTTCTGAAGTAAGTGCTAATTGTGAGTTGAATCTTCCGTGTTTTGTTTGTTTGTTTTCCCCTCGTTTTTCTGGCATGTCTATCTTTGCATTCCTGATTGATGCGTCGTGTGGCCAGGTGAGCTTGTGTACTGCTGCAGGGCTTTAATGTCTTGGCTAGTATGCGCATCGTTTAGTCTGCGACTCGGGACTTGCGCGCGCTGATTCCTAGCAAGAGTAAAACAACTGTGTTCTACTTCTCACCAACTCGACCGGCGTTGCGTTGCACTTTTGTCAGTCAATTTTACCCAGCAAATGTCTATTCTCGAATTCCAATCGACTGTACAGAAAAGTTCTGGTTAGGAATGAGTCCTCTGAACAAGCCAAAACAACATGCCAACATACTCGCAAAGATACTTACTATATTGAATACTTTGATATGTACTGCCCACCGCCTGCACGATCACACTAAGCCAGGGACACTCGAAGTTTTTTGCTACTATGCATTGCGGCAGTCGCCAAAAGGTGCTGGTTGTGCCCATAAAAGGACGGGTTGAAGAGTTGTGCTTGTTTGTAACACTGATACGTTTCTTTTCTGACAAACCAATCGTGTATTTTTCATTAATAAGTCTTAAGGCTTTGCAGCTTGCGTGTGTAAAACTGTTCCTTCAAGTGCTGTCATCACATCCTAGGTCCATCACACCTTTACACGTTAGAAGTACTCGATCCAGATAAGTAGTGTTCAGGTTGTGATACCCTTGAGATGAGCTAGAAGGCTGTCTCCGAGGGCTGTTGTTGTGTGGGAACCAAACAGGCAGACTTTTAGAACGTGATCTTTAATTTTGTTGTTACGAAAGGTAGCCTGTGGGTTATGGACTTTGGAAAGATAATGTTTGAAATGAAAATGTGCGGACCAGTTCATATCTGCGGCAACTTTCGATAAAATCGAATAAATGAACTGGTAATTCTGAATGGCGCCAGTAATGGGCCCCAGCTCCAGACTCCTGATTAATACGTGCTTCACCGATGGACGGCAAGTATATAATCGCGGTCTTCACACTAATCGCGCAACTAGGATTCATTCGTATTCTCCGCTCGGTACCCTCATGAGCACGTGTGTGAACAGTTGGGATGGGAAGTTAGTGAAGCACGGCCTTGTCCTTTTTTTCAGGACTAACCTGATAATCTCGCCCTCGTTACCCAGTGGTCACCTCCAGTTTTTCATCTGATGATAGCCTCCTTGACTTCATTGAACTAATAAACAGATGCATTGCCACTCTCATACAACGCGACAGTATAAAATGAGTTTTTCGGGACGATACATCACTGATGCACTGGGACGTTTTTTCTGACCTTTTGGGACTTTCGAAGTGGTGAAAATATTGCTTATGTTTTAATTGGTGAAACTCCAAGTACACATATTCTTGAGGCGGGAACCGACAGCCTATTTTAAGGTGTCTGTAATTCGTTAGCGGGCAATGTGGCCCAACTGTATCGGTTTAGTAGAGTTTTGTTACCTACAATAAGACTGCAAAAAAGAACGCATACCATAATATGGTTTGCCTGACTCATCAACTGCTCGCTGCAACCTGCCCCGGTTTTTGAAGTTCTGAAAGCCTTTATCCAAGAGGCCGCTTAAGGTGCACAGCCACATTTTCGCTCGAAGTATCGTTTGCGTATTGGTGGTTCCTGAATTAATTGTGATTGTTGGGTGGATACTGGAGTCGAAATCACGGACTGGTGCCTTCAACCGCCCTTGTGTTCAGGCGTTCCTTATGTAGATTTCGAGGAACGTCCAAGACATTACTTAGCTTTTCTGTTTTTCCTCCATTGGCACAGCACATTACTTGATGTGTTGCACCAGTCTGTCACTTGCTTGGCGTACACTTTATCGCTCGTGTCACACTCATTCAACTGGGTACGGAATCTTTTCAAAGATTCTACGTTCGAAATTTAGTACTTTCTCACCAACCGAGGTGACTAGTTTCAGTAGCAATCCAATGAAACTAGTTCTTAGATTTCGTCTTACAATAGTAGTTCAACTTTACTTAAATGTTCCATGACATAGACTGTCAAGTTACCTTCAGCTTGCTGAATTTTGCATCTTCTTCGAGGTCCCGTGAATTGGTCACAGTGTGCCATGAGTTTTTCGATGAACGCTGGTCCAAACGTCGTGTGGTAACCAGTTTGGAATGGTCCACGATCTACCCGGAGCTACTACTGGCCGCTTACCATATCAATGAGGAAGCCGCACACGAACCGGAAGGAGTTTGTCTGATTTGGAACATGAAATTCCCAAAGAAAACCAGCCCGGAGTTTATTTTTCACTGCCAGTCTCCGATTACCTCAGCCACGTTGTCCAAATTCCACCCGAACCTAGTAATTGGGGGCACGTATTCCGGTCAGATCGTATTGTGGGATAGTAGGTAAGCATAGAAAATGGCCCGTCGTCAATTTTTTCTTAGTAATCTTCTTTAGTGTGCGTGGGGAGTATGCAAATGTTGCTACGAGTTTCAACCATTGATTCATTTCGCTTGTTGGGCTAGCGTCGTATACATTTTGCAAATCTCCTAGACATGTTTTTTGGGGAGAGACTACTGGCTCACGAAGCTGTTTCATCTGCGAGGGACAGTCAATGCACCTTGAAATCACCCAGGTATCCAGCTTTTGTTACCGTTTTCGGGGTGTAGGTTTTCTATCCCAAAGATTGTACTTTGCGGCTGTGGATAACAACAACGTTATTTTCGGGAGATTGTTGGAGGGGAAATTTCCCTGTTGCTAGGACAACTTAATAAGCTGATTATTTTAAAGAACTGACTGTTTGCGTCTGCATAACTGGTTCGTACTCTTTTTAGCAACATGCTAATGAAACCCTAGTCCTCCAAGAAACGTATTACCACTCCGCTCCTGTCTCCATTTTCATACGAGGTTTGTTCGTGGAACTTTTGAGCGCCTCACCATTTTTATCGTCATCCACCTTAATGCTGTTCTGTCTTGACGTTGATGTACACGAACTTCCGTGGATACGTGGTCTACGGCAAGCTCTCGCCTGGGTTCACTACATCGTATGGTGTCAGGCAGGGTGTCCTCTTTCACCCGTCCTGTTCGACTTCGCCATGGATATGAACATAGAGGACTCATCCCCAGCCTCTGATGCTCAGGGTAGTCGCTCACAGATATGGAGTACACAAAACACATAGCCCTATTGGGATCTGATGCCTCACGGTTTGGCATGTGCTTCACATGCAAGGTGTTGAATGGTATTTCAAAACTAGAAGTGCTTGAGCTCAAACCGCATGCTTGCAGATGAGTCGACTAAGGCAGTAGAGATAGTTATCTACCTGGGTATCCGTATCGATCTCCTTGGTATAACAAAAGACGATATTCTCATTTGTAGTGGAAAGGCCAGAAGAGCCATTGTCAGCCTTCATCGCTTTTGGCACAGGCGTGGCATCGCCTTGTTTGTCAAGCGCCGAGTTTAAACTGCTGCGGTGTGCTCCATATTGTCATGTGGATCAGAAAACTTGGTTTCTTGGCCCTGAGGGCGTTAAAAATACTTTCAGGTTTTGGCTGTCGATGTATTGGCATTGTTCGAGTCTGATGGGAATGTCGGATCAGTGGAGCTGAAATCGGCCGAATTGTTTCCGGAAGAAATAACCCGCCCACAATAGATGGGCTGATCATGCTTCATAGATTACGTTGGTTCGGTCCCGTGCTCCGTATGCCAGCCGACCGGTTTCCTCGGTTAGCCCTTTTCGCACAGCAATGAGGAGGAGGAGGTGGAGGAAACGAGCCAGAAGGGTTCCAGCGATGTCTTGACAACGTAGTGTGGAAGCCAGTTGCTGTGGTTATTGCATTCTCTCTGGATACGGATCCAGAGCCATGACACATTAGCGCTAGGAGATACTGACAGACATGACCCCGTCACGCGCTCACTAACTTGCATTTATGGAGATTGTTGCTTTCAGTGCATAGCGTTCTCTCCCGATCTTCCTAAAACAAAGTCTACTATCAATCCCGGATTCACATTTGAAGCGCATCGTCTACCGGCTCCAATGCGTTGCTATCCATCCTGTGCACCAGATCATCGATGAACAAGACTGTGACTGCACGACATCCACATGGTATTTACAGTTGAAGAAAAAGAATAAGAAAGTTAATACGCCCAATGTCGGATTGGGTTTCACCTCAGAACTGCGTAACGAAATGGCCAGCATGTCGACATAGGTTTACCATGGACGAAACGTTTACAGCGTTGTTGCAGATAACGTGCTTTGCATGATGATGAGGCTTAAGGTAAGGCGGCTCAAACAAGAGTGAAACAGCAAGTGATAGGTGGCAGCAGTAGGATCACTGGGCAACTTACCCCAAGGATTAGAATATCTCGAATAAATTTGACATTTATTTTCCCAGCTGCGTTTCATGGTTGCTGCCCATTTTGCCATAAGTATATTTCAAAGCTGGTCAAAGTGGAAGTATGATTATGCATAATCAGTCTCTTAACTACTTGGATACCGGGCTTAAAGTAAGTTTGATTATTACAAAGCTGGTTCGAATATTACAGTAGGAAGATCAAGAGTGCTGGTTGTTTATACCATAGTTTCACTTCTGTAGCTGCAGTATTGAAAAACCATCAATTCCACATCATGACTAGAAACATATGGGGGCCAGTGGCACTGCTGGTCAAACAGTTCCGGTTCGTAGACCCAAACAAACCGGTAGCTTGTGCCGGAGACTTTTAGGCATATGAACTTTGTCGATATTGGTTAATCAAGACGCCCCCATTCCGAGCTGACATGGGTGAGTAGCATTATGAACGCTGCTTGGGGTTAGCCAGTGTTTTGTTCGAATCAAGACGCCCCATTCCGAGCTGACATGGGTGAGTAGCATTATGAACGCTGCTTGGGGTTAGCCAGTGGTTTGTTCGATTCCCCAAGAAAAATCGAGCTTGATCAGCTCTTACGGGTCGTCCTTAAAAGGAGAATCACTGCATACTATACTTCGCTTCAAACAACAGTTGACAATTGAGACCAATTCCCTAGTGAATGGATCAGATGGTTCACGGTCTACAGGGTTTGATCTACAGAGTTGCTCACGCTACTTTTGACTGTTGGATGAAACTCTTTTGGCTTTGTTCTCTTCTCTGTGCAGTACAATGTCAACTCAGGTGGCTCTACTGAGAGCTAGCACGAAACTGTCCTAGACGATGACGGGGACAAAGCGGAACGCTAACGTTCGTCGCAGACGAACAGACCAAGAATAATCCATTTAGCTGCCATTGGAATGTGTGAAACTGGTAAACCAAGATATGGGTTTCCAAACCCCTGCGAGTGAACAGTAGAACAAGGCGTAGGTTTAACTGGTAAAGACGAGCAGCAATTACAACAGGGACCTTAATGTAGTGAAGGCCGAAGAAATATGACAGACAAATCGGCATCCGTGGTGAATCGGTTTGTGGTTCAAAACGGAAATGTGCTCATCCTTGGACGACCACACCTCTATTCCAAGTCAAGTGTCTTTTCAATCTATATTTCTTCGGCTCTTTCAGTCCTTATTGATTCACCTTTTCAACGTCCTGGTCTCACGCCTTTTTGTCCACCGTCGAAGTAGACTATTCGGTCGGGGATTGTGACGTGACGGATGCCACCAATAAAAGCCAGCACGCTTGACAGTGACCGCAGCCTTTTTCTGCTAGTATCTGCAGCTTTCCCATAGCCCCATATCCATGTTTTGGCACTAGATAGGATGTCACACGAGACATAGATATCCCATTCATCGATGTCCTCGCAATAAAACTGGGAATTGACATTAGAGTAGCTAAGTAAAGAATTCATCCCCCACAGGGAAGAGTTTACTCTATGTGTGACTTCTCCAAGTTCTGGATTCATCATCGGTGGGAAAGAGAAACTATCAGGTCTGAGACTCCAGCTATTAGTTTCAGTCTTATTTAGAATGCTCGATTTGGGGTTATTGGTCCGATTTCCTGGTGATTTTCAGTTCACTCACTTTTGTGCATGCTAGATATTCCACAAAAGCGATGAGCTCGCTGCGCCTGGATGACTACGGGTTTCATACCAACCCCCGGTTACTTTGAATAGTAGTGGGCGCTGTTCAACTGCAATGCAGTCATATACCACTTCATTTTATGTTGCTTAACAGGCAACTACTCACAAGGTTGCTGATAACTCTTCGACGGGGCTCATTAGGTAGGCGCAGTCCCCGAGTTTCCGTCAATCTTGTGTTCTACTTGAAACTGAAACATGAGGCGGCTTGTGTACAGCACATTCAGTTGTAAAATATCATAAACGAGAGATTCGGTTAAGTCTGTCGTGAAAACCAAATTTATTTGCTTAACAGGCCTTTTGACGGAAGAAACTTGTGTGGGCTAGGATGACCCTTCTTTCGCCGCTCCCACTCAACGCATAAAAAGAATCAATTCCAAAGAACCCTCATCCTTATATGTTGGTGTTTTCACAGTGTATTGCACTCCTTTTTTAGCCAGTATTCACTGTTCACGTCAACACCCCCGCCTTTTCAGTACCTGTTTGAAATTCGGTCACCATTCATCCGCTCTCTTGCATACTTTCTTCTGTTTGTCCTCCACTGTGTCTGTCAGTTTACTCTTTCTCATTCACACTTTAGAGTCAACAAGCGAACACCAGTTCAACGGAGCCCTCTCACTTCGATGGCTCATACACACCCAGTGTTTGCTGTGACCGTGGTCGGCACGCAGAATGCACACAATATCATCAGCCTCGGTTCAGATGGATCGCTGTGTGCATGGAATATTGAAATGTTGGCTCAACCGCGTGAAAAGAGCAGAGTATGTGAGGTACCCTCAGCGACAGGTGGTGGACATTTCGAACTTTATCCCACCTGCATGTCTTTCTTCGCCAATGATGTGAACAATTATGCCGTTGGCGCCGAGAATGGAAATGCCTATTGTGGACAACGACACAGCAGGTTAGTGTCAGTTTGCCTGGATAGATGGTGCTGTGTCTTGTCCAGCTCATTGGTTTGTGGTTTCCCTGTAAAAATGTGGTTCGACAGTTGGCGATGTGCATTCCCGGTTTTTCTTTCGCTTCCTCGGTGTTTGACAATCGCTTTTTCCGAAAAGTTGCCGCGGTCTCATGCTAACATTGGCTTAGCAATGTCGAAGTGTGTCATATAGTTTCATACAAAGGGGACTGTATGGCGATAGCATAGCCGAACATACTCCATAGTTTGCGTTGGCTAGGCCAGATGCTTCAGGAGTTGGAGGATCGTCCATTTCGCACGCCTGCTTTTCTCCAGCCAGATACTGGGTGCAGATGCCCGAAAGCTGGATTATCTGTGATCTAGCAGTGAAGTTTAAAGGCACAGACTATTAAACTGTATCTAGTGACAACCGTTACATTCCTACCAATAATCAACGCATCAGTGGCTCATATCACGGACAGACGTCCCAGTTATGTGGTCAGTGGCGCTGCGTCGTCAATGCCTGTGTAGCGTATCGCTTCCTCGGGTAGCCATAACAGGTAGCCTATTCGGCTGTCATTCCCGTTATGTGACTGGCCGTCTGCTGTTTTCCAATTTCTCTGTGGTAGCTAAGACCAAAGAACCCTTGCAATGATTTATAGCCATGTACCCGACCGAGCAATTGGTTCGGCCTGATACCATCAAATGACCGAAATCCGTAGGGGTAACTGACATTTGTAAACTTTCGGCCGACTGGAAGATAAACAAGGTTATCTTGATGCTTACCGAAGTAGACCGAAAGGTAGCTGTTTGTGTGTAGCGGAGCCTGGGGGCTGATATTTCGGAGAGTCGGCTTTGCCAGACAGTGGTAGATAAGAATTACTACAACGTATTTTGACTAATGTATGTTCTACGTATGCAAATGTGTGAAGACACCTGTGCGGATTAACTCAATTCAGTATGCAGCGAGTGTCGTCCCCATCCAGCGTTTTCTTACCTGCGCCGAAGCTGCTCATGCTTAGTGTAAGAAAAGAAGTTACCGGTGCCACCTAAGTGTTTTTTACATAATACATCCAGGAGGATAATAAAACGTTAAGTGAGCACAGTAGTTCTACTCATCCCGTGACATGTTTAAGCTTGTGGAAGACGTGTGGTGTATTTTAATGGTTAGTTGCAAGAAATACTGAGTACCGCTTGAAAGAGCACCACACCTGTCACATCTAGCGTGCTGTTTGTTCCATCTTTCTGCGTCAGTCTGTAACCGACTTAGAAATTGTGTTGTCACCAATAAAAGTAATGCATATCTACGATGAAGAAGGCTTAACTTTGAAAGCCACATGTTAGCATCCACTTTCTAGGTCCAATATTTTTGTGATGTACTGATTGTGCGAAGAATTGGTGGGTGTTGGACTGATTGAAAGACGTTGATTGCAATGGCTTGCTAGTGATGGATCACAGAATGTGCGAAAATGCATTGTTCCACGTAAATTGTCTTCCGATATCGCTATGCAGGTAGTGTGGGTCTGCACTCTTCTGATCAAATATCGTTGAGACTGTATTTATTCTGGTTCAAATGACTTGATCTGATCACAGCTGTGGGCTTACCCATTAAAGCAATGGTCAGCTTAACATTCTGCGATATCCCTGGCAGTGCAATTATATCGATTATTTGCTATCGTTATTAGTTCTGTCTAGGCGTTTATTTAAAAAGCTGCTCTGAGCTTGTGGCCGTGCTTGATTCCATCAGATAATTGTGAGCTCCTGACAAACAGATGTTCATCACGTGCAGCCACGTTAAGCAGTTCTCTATTGCAAGATGCGTGTTATTTGGTCAGTTTTTTTAACCGTACGTGGTTGATGTTTGTTCCCATTCTGTATTCTACGAACTCATTGGTAGACTCAGACTGACCTTGTTCTAGCTCGAGCCGCTTTTCGGAATGTCGCGAATTTCTTCTTAAGTGTGGTGGTGTATTTCAGTTCATACCCGATTCACAAGCCATAGCAGGCCTAACAGACTGCCAGATTGGTGAGGTGCAAACAGGCTTATTCGAGTGAGTTCCGAACCGCAGCACCATAGATCATTCGTGCTTCACTGGCATACAGCCATGCCAATTTATTTTAATAAAGCCCCTACATTGGAGTTGCCTACACCTCAGACAACCTGGAATGAAACTGGCAGCATGAAGACCACTCACATTGGTTAGCCGCCATACCTTTTGATGTTTCCATTCAATCATAGGAACGGTCCCGTAGGCCCCATCTTAGAAGGCGAACAACACAACGGCACCCGAGTTTTACGTAACCTCCTTCAAATTCCTTATGCCATGTCGTATTCTACCCATTTCTGGGTTTTCACCAATCCGAATTAGGCATGGAAAGTAACATGCTTCTCGCCAGACCACAACTCGGCATGTGTAGCACAAAACTTGGTCACCTTAATTTGCTGTGCTGGATGCATTATTTGGATGAATGGCGTTTTGCTTTACTGCGAATTTGTTTCCCTACTACACCATTGCGAGGTCGCTTATTCCAACTGATTCGCACTGCTTTTCAAAGAACTGAAGTGCCTCAGATAATCTAACTGAAGCAATACAGACCTGCACCGCAGTCTGATGCACACGTTCCCTCAGACCCAGTAATAGGTCCTTCTGACACCACAAGTGACGTGAATCGGTAAACGTAATTCTGCCCATTGAGATTCACATGACTTGTCCGTCACATTACGGTTGAAGTTAATACACCTTACGGAGTACATTAGTGTTCCACAACTTTTATTGTTTTTCCACGAATTCTTTAAGGCATTTTCGAGGAATTTTACATGTTTTGAGTGAGAAGCACGTATAGCACAACAGAATGGCCCATGTCGGCTTTTCTAGCGCCATTTGCGCTTTCCGCTCTTTTTTTTCAAAATGGGAACAATATCGTCTGCATATCCCAGGTCGACAGGCTTCTCTCGGAGCGGTCTGAACACCGGAGTTTTGGTGACCATCCTGAGTTCGTCTAATCGTCGAACTCGAAAGTGTGTACATTTATTTCGGACACCGTTGCTTGCATGGAAGCTTTTTCAGAGCAGCTTATACACTCTCACGCGTCCACAAGTTTGTGAATACGAACTTCTGAGGCATTCCCTGCTGCGTAGGTGTGTTGAATAGAACAAACAGGTTGGCAGAATCAAATGCACCCTTGAAATCAAAAGACATCAAGATTGTAGGGCGCGTATGCGCATGCTGTCGCTCGCTCACTTGACATGGTGTGAAAACCCCTTCCCCTGCAGAAAGGGTTCTGTCTTCAAGCGCCGTCGCAAGCCGATTTAAATTTAATGACACAAACAGTCAAGGTTCAAGCTAATCCTTTCGTAGTTGCCACATTCAATGCCAGTAGTTTTTTTCGAAAATAGGCACTGCTGTTGACTTACTCCAGTTGGCTAGGGCGTCCCCTTCGACCTCACTAAAGAAAAACAAGTCGGACAAACTGAAAAATTCATCTCCGTCTTTGAACAGAGCAGTGTGAATTTTGTCAGGACGGGCGACACGATTACGCCTGTGGGAAGAAATCCACTCGCTTATTTTCGAAGCTGTTGGATGTTACAATTTTGCTGATGGAGTCTTCGTTTAGGATTGTGAATCCGGAGCTCGAGATTGTTCACTGGTTAAGATGCGAATTAACTAACCGAAAAATCCTTGGTTCGAACTCAACCGTTAGACTGCTCCTGTCTAGGTCTGGTAGCCTGACAGTATCTCAGCCCTCGTGCGTCCTCCGGATTGCATGGTTGCTAGACACCGAAAGCGTGTTACGGCCGAACGATTGGTTTATTTATATGTAGATCCTATCGACCAATTGCGAGGGCTCAGTTGGACTGTTGTAACCGTCCAATTCAACAATACCGGTGTAGTTGCTTTTTATATATTAGCGGGTCGTTCTTGTCAGTGATTGTTTTGCTTACCAGATACATTTTTACAGTATCTGCTGGAATAGTCTGCACACAGTTCCAGAATTTCTTGCCTTCCCGATCTCATCGGCTTTTTGGATCTATTAGGTAACCTCGATCATTGGAGATACTTCGACATCGATCATCAGCATCATCATCAACTGCTGGTTAACAGTCCATCAAGTTTTATTACATACCCCACCAAGAGGGATTCTTGTCCGAACTTGGGCAAATTTTAAACTGCTGCGCGTGATCTGGTGCTTAGGCGTAGTTGGTTGTGTGGTCCCACGTGTGAAGTGCTTCGCATCTCGCGGTGATGCTGACAGCACTTTTCTGTAACAGTCAGATCAGGAGATGCATTATACAGTGTGTGGTGTTTGTAGGTTTGTTTCACATCAGGATCGGAGAGTTTCTCAAAGGCCAGACGAGATGTGTGCATCTTGCGGGTCCAGTACAAGCACAGGTAAAAGCAGCAACGGACAAGCTGGTGATCGAGATCTACCTAGGTGATAGTAATTGATCCAAATATTCTATAAGCGATGTGGTCTGTCTGCGTTAAAGTCTGGATGGCATGCCGATTAAGTTGCTTGGGTTGTTTCGGAAGTTAGTACTGTACAGAAACAATCTGTTTTTAGCACATAACTGCAGCAGTTGTTCGTCTTTGTTCGTGCGTGTCGATCCCACTCCCAGACAACTACCCAGTTGAGCCTCAGTCGAGTTAAGTCAGCCTGTTTACGCATTCATATCCCTGACAGCCACAGCAATATCCGAGCTCTTAGCCTGTCGTAGTAAAACGCTCAAAGCGTCGTAAAAGCTGTCTTTAGGACTATCGCAGTTGCAGTCTTTTAGGGCGCAATCGGATACAATGCACAGACAGTGATCATTTGAGACGCTGCCAAACGGATCGTGCAAGGATGAGTATCAGCGCGCAACCTTTCAAGTAGAAGCCTTTCAGCTGAATGGCTGAAAACGGTACCAACTCCAACAGAAACAGCCACAATGTCTGCCGATTTCAGCACAGCCATTAGTACACCGATTCCCCTACAGTGAAAGAATGTGGCAGACTGAGTTCATGTGTATCGGAGCGAAGTTTGTTTTCTTGGAAATACTGTTCAAACCAAATTGTGATAAGACGCAAACCACTGATCTCCATGGGTAACCATTCCAGGGGCTACAGCAGAATTTAACCGGGCAACGGATGTCTGGAGCATTGTGATGTGTTCCCCAACCGTTTTAGAGGCAAATGCAAGACGAACTCTGTGTGTACATGGTCCCAATGTTATGGTAAATTCTGAGTATCGTTTTTTGACAGGTGACACGTTGCTTAGTTGATGCCCTCTGTGTGGATTACTTCCTAAAGATACCACAGTTTATATACTTGCTTTTGAGTGAAACTACCTTCGTCGCAACCAGATATTCTTAATCGTCTAAACGCTTTGTTCGGTTTGATGAACACCACTGTTGTCATAGAACCCAGTGTTGTGGCGTCGCCACTTCTGTCATCACTTGCATGGGATTATAGCGTCCTAGCAACACGTTGGTTAAGAATTACTGCTGATGACGTCACGCGATGATTATTACCCAATCAGATACCCTTACCTCTGCTCATAAAAAATCGTTCAACTGTAGCACTGGGCTGGGATAATTCCAGATTGCCCAAGCCTAGACAGGGGAAGTTGAGAGGCAGAGGTCGGGCTCGGACCTTCCAGTCAGTAAATTCGTGCTCTAACCACTAGGGCCATCTCGCCCCCAATCTGTGTTCATTCAAAAATCCACTCGCCCAGTGTTTCTTCAGTAGATTATCTTCTAGTTTTCGCAAGAACTGCCTTTTCTCAACCAAGATTCGAAAATTGATTTAAAGACTACCACCCAGCGAAGCACTTATTTGATGCTGTGGATGATGATTGTGATAGGTAAGTCCCACTGATGGTGGGAATTATGGTTGATTGTGGAGCACGGTGTGGTGAACAATCTGTTTTGCTTATTCTAGAGGTTATTCGTAATGTGATGCTCGGAACGAAATGATCAGTAGTCACGGTGCATCGTGGATGCATGTACTACAACACCATTGGCATTTTAGTTATATCTGACCGCATAGATATCAGACTAAGCATCCTTCGTGTCCTCGTGGACCTGTTTTAGTGTTTTTTGCACAAGTTTCCACCCACTTTGTGGTCAGTTTCTTCTGAGTCTCCAAGTTGCGTTATTTCTCCCTAACTTTAGTACATCTCAAGTGGGAAATTTTCCGCATTCCGATTTTTTTAAGTTCCTTTACGGGATTCATTTTACTCTTCTTTAAATAATAACGTCCCTGATGCACACTGTCTTGTTACTCTTCTACCTGAACACAGGTCGATTTCGCTCATCTGGGAACGCTGTTCATCAGAGATAGTTGTAATTTACATCCGCAAGCTTTTAAGGTTTCAGCTTAGCTGATTTCGCATATTTATGCTGATTGCTGACGAGTCTAACTACTCCTACATGAGTTGCAAACGGCTTTTAGAGGTTCCCAGTCGTTCATTTAGACATCCTCCCTGAAACCCAAACCGCAGGTTCACAAAACATTTCTTGGCACTGCTGCGATTCGATTTCATGGAGACGGAACTTACTACTGTCCAGTATTCCTAAACTGTATCCACTTGGATAATTTGAGTCCTCTCTTACTGATTTTAATATGGTGCTTTATGTCACTATACTATCTCTAACTTCAAATTCGTGAACCTCTTTTGTTTGTGCTATTGCAACAGTCGCACAGCAACCACGGACGATGCATCTCGTAACGTTCCATACAAAGGTCATTGCGCTCCCATCACAGCCATATCGACTCATCCGTGTCCCGGTGCCATGAACTTCTCTTCTCTGTTCCTTACCTCCTCTCTCGATTGGACTGTCCGCCTTTGGTCCACTTCCGAATACACTCCACTACATACATTTGAGGATTATTTCGACTATGTGTACGATGTTAGTTGGAGTCCTGTTCACCCTGCGGTGTTTGCGGCGGTAGACGGTACCGGTCGTCTGGACGTGTGGAATATCAATCAGGATGTTGAGGTAACTTTGTCACTGAACTGTCCAACTTCAACTATGATTCGCCGTTGCGTGCAGTTGTCTTCCTCACCGTGTAGTTTTTTTCAGACGGGTGATCTTATCTTCTTCAGGAGCTTCATGTTTAACAATCTCAGCTGAGACTGTAGTTGAAGACATGAGATCACGGAGCTCACTTGTGCAATTGATGCGCATCATCATCATAATTGAAAGCAGCATCAGATGGGTGCTTCACTTCCTTACTAAAACAGGAAACGTGTCCACCATACAGGCAAGAGGAATCTTTTGTCCAGCCTGTTTCAGATTGCGAACATTAAGGACATCCAGATGAACCGAATGACTGAGTTTGAAGAATGATTTCGAAGTGTCTGTGGCCGTGGTGGCTGAGTTAGCCGTAGTAGATATTGCAGTTAGCGATAATGGACGGCGAACGGATCTGTCATTTCTCAGCAACAGGCCTACGGACCGGTCGCTAACATCGGAGTGCTAAGGGGTTAGAGCGAATATGTGGGAGAGAAAGGAGGCANTCAACTATGACTCGCCGTTGCGTGCAGTTTTTTTCAGACGGGTGGTCTTATCTTCTTCAGGAGCTTCATGTTTGACAATCTCAGCTGAAACTGTAGGTGAAGACATGAGATCACGGAGCTCAAGTGTGCAACTGATGCGCATCATCATCATAATTGAAAGCAACTTCAGATGGGTGCCTCATTGCCGTACTAGAACAAGAAGCGAGTGCAGCATACAGGCAAGAGGAATCTTTTGTCCAGCCTGTTTCAATGTGCAAACACTTCCAGATGAACCGTGCGACTGAGTTTGAAGAATGATTTCGAAGTGTCTGGCTGTGGTGGCTGAGTTAGCCGTAGATATTACAGTTAGCGGTAATGGATGACGAACGGATCTGTCATTTCTCAACAACAGGCCTACGGACCTGGCGCTAACAACGGAGTGATAAGGGGTTAGAGCGAATATGTGGGAGAGAAAGGAGGCAGTTGATGCTCGCATCAGGTTGTTTTGTTACCTCGTGATGGGCTGTGAATTTCTTACGTGCTCCAGTTCTTTCTCACTTGAAATTAAGCTTTTCCCCTGACAGATAGGTCCTTTGTTCTTGTTCACGGTCGTCGCTGCGAATGATCCTACTTTTTGTGCTGTTTCATTATTGCTTTTGTAATCTTGTTGTGACAGACCATAATTTAGCTACAACTGTGGACGTTCCACAGATGCTTTTTCCGCGTCACTACACTGAGTGAATGCTGTCTGTACCATAGGATTTTTCCAGTCGCACAGTTCAACGTAGACTTGTCTATGGGCTGTTCTTCAAACACACAAGCTTCGCAAGAACAGTCTTGTTACCGCCTGATATAACTGAAGGTTTCTATCGCTAGGGTTTTAAGTATCAGCC